TCCTGGCAGGCAGAGCCCCCAGGGCTCTCTGCAGCCGGGGCTGGCACCCAGCTGGCAGCGTTTGGGATGCCCGGGCTGGCAGGGCAGTGGATACCCACCCATGCTGGGTGCTGCTTGGCTGCTGCCACAACGCCGGGCACGTTTTCCTGCTTCCCTGACATCCTCCAGCAGCTGTTTCCTTATCAGCACTTAACTGCATTATCAGAGAGCAAAAGAGACAATTTAACATTTTTCAGCTGATTTATCTGCAGAGATCCTTACCGGGGAATCACTTCTGGTGGCACTGAAAACATCACCTCACCAAATCATGTTGGTGCTGATGATCGTTAACAGGAACTCTCAGTTAATTTGATTAATACGTTCCTTTAGAATTAGCAGCTGCCAAGAGCTGCCTCCTGGATGTTTATCAGAGTTCTGGATCAACAAAGCCCCCGGCACAGCTCGGCTGCTCCTCCACTGGCAGCGACTCCAGGAGCTCTGCACACCAGCAGGGGAACACCCCAAAATGGAGATTTTCACCATGGGGTGCTGGGAGGGCTGAGAAAAGCTCAGGGTCAGTAGAGATGGCACCAACACTCTGTAAAGTAAGCAATAAAAATTAAAAGTCTTCAAGTGCAGGAGAGCTCTGATCCCTCAGGGAGCTGCCATGCTCCAACAGGCAGGACCCACACCACACACACCAGGGGAAATAAATCAGTCAACCACTGTAGCTGGAGTTTGGGGGAGCCAAAGGAGGGGAATTCACTGGGGAAGAAACAAAATAAGCCTCAAAGGCACACAGTAGGTTTTTCTCCATTTCATGTACGTTTTCTGTCTCACTCCTGGGCTCTGGCATTTCCTGCCAGTCCCTGCACGTGCAATTTATGAGCTGCAATGAATTTGACTTGCAAACCTCCTGTATTGTGCAGATGAGAAACCAGTGGCACTAATGCTGAAAACAGAGTTTGAAAAGTCAGGATCCTCCCCATGTGAAAACCTGGATAGCACAACTGAGGAGAGCTCCCTGATAAAGCAGAATCACATCCCAAAGAACCAGAATGACAAAAGATCATTTTTATAGTCCTGAAATGCAGGGACGGAGCTGTTCAAACAAGTGCCACAAACCCACCAAATGCTCAAAGCCAGAGGCTGGAAATCCATCTGTGACTCACACGTGGCTCTGCTGCAGCAGCCACATCCCAGGGAGGGCTTTGGGGCCAAGCTTTGCTTTATGTTTAGCTAAAACCCAGAACGAAGCCACGTTCCAGGACCTGCCATCAGCCTCACAAGAAACAACCAGATCTTCAGGAAGCGACTCCAGTGTAGGAAGATTTCCAGCCCCGTTCCCAAACCCGCACAATAAACCCAGGGAGCAAAGTGATGCTGAGCTGGGTGGGGAATATTCCCTGTCCCAGCGGCGTGGGAGCTCAGCAGGGGCTGCTCCGAGCCCCCAGAGCATCCCAGCACGAGAGCCCCGGGATTTATCCAAGAGCTCCAGCCCACCTCTGGGATGCAGAGCCCAGGGATGCCCCAGCTCTGCCCCTGGCAGCCGAGAGAATTCCAGCCTGTGGAACTGAGCTGAGGGACAGGAAAGCTGCTGCATGGGAATAAAGTGATGCATTCTGCCCAGTGAAAGCAGTCAGGCAGGCTCACAGGGAGCTGGGAGGGCTGGGGAGGCCGGCTCACACCGCAGGGAAAAGCACCTGGAGGGGCCAAACCAGCACACAACATGCAGGGCCCTCCAGAAAAAGCAACTTAAGGTACAACACGGCCTGTGGAGAGACCCAGAAACGCCAGCTGGACCCTCGTGCCCCAGACCAGAGTCCTGATGAGGCTCTGCGTTGGTGCTTCTTCACGAGAACAATTCATACCCTGCTCCCTAAATGCTCACCTCTGCTCACCAAGAGCTCCAAAGTCCTTGCTTGTGGCACCAAAAGGAGTTTCCAGCTGCCCTGATCTGCAGATGGGCTCGGATTTAAATTACAGCTCCAGAGTATGGCAATTCAATTGTAAAAATGGGAACTGCACCAATAATAAAATTACATTAACGCATGGAATGA